GTTTTGCTGAAGTGATGCCTACCTCCTCTCCCATTTTGCTGTACACATAAAATTAAGCCATTTATCAGATTGATAGAGCTCATAGGAATGTCCTTGTCATCTCAGAGTGAGTTCTCTAAAGACTTTTCCTAACCCTACATAATTTATTCACTGCATTGAAAAACAGTAAATTGCAGAGGGCAGGTTTTTTGTGGCATTTGTGAATGGGCAACTTGCTTTTATTCTCACGGCAGATGTGTAGGTGGGAAAAACAACAAGATAAGCTGCAGTAAAACTTACTGATTCACTTAAAATTAAAACAAAATAAATAAAAATCCTCTAACCAAAGTGGGTTTGCTGCATGTGCTTATCGTGATCTGTTTCTGGTTAGGCCATTTGGAAATTGCTGTCACTCCTGTTCGCTAATAATGGAAGTTAGGATATTAAGTCAATACAGATTGCATTTGTGTGTGGAGAAAATTTGATATACATATGCCTCATCCCTGGAAGTGTTCAGGGTCAGGCTGGATGAGGCTTTGAGCAACATGGTCTAATGGGAGGTGTCCCTGCCCATGGTGGGGGAGTTGGGACTAAGACGATCTTTAAGGTCCCATCCAACCCAAACCATTCTGTGATTCGATGATCGAACTACGCAGCTCGTATTGCTGTCTGATTTTTTCAGTCTGATTTTTTCAGCATCAGGATGGGTAGGGAGTAGAGGCATAATGCTACTGCAGACGGGTTTGAAAAAAGGACTTAGCAATTGTTGCTAGCAGTTACTTCAAAAGGAGTCATTCAAGTAGTATGTGGACAGAAAAATTCTTTGATGACAGTGGCATGACTGAAAGCACAGATAGTGCTCTGGTGTCAGAGGTAAAAGCAGATATTGATGCTTCAGTTACCCTCAGTGATTTTGCCATCACTGACAAACTCATTTAAAATCCAGAGGATGTTTGCCACAGTCATAAAAAGGGAAGGGAATTCTCCTTTGAAAACAGCCATAGTACTCTGTACGAGTAATTATCTGTTGCTTCTTCATACACTGAATGTTTCTTTTTTTTAGCATCATTCTGTAATATAAATATTAATGTAAGATATAGCCATTATTATTACATAAATCTTCTCCCAGCAGCTTTGAATAGTTATAAATCATGAAATGCGTTTTTAAATGTTAGCTTCTCTCAGTAAACTGAAAAATTCACCCTCTGTTTGTACACTTTAATTGGATAGAATGATTTTTTTGTTTCAAATTGTAATTATATACAAAACACCAAATTATATACAGATAAACCTATTCTGTGTTTGTTTGGAGATTGAGCAATCTCCGGAATTAAATGCTGGAAGCTATTCCCTCATTATCTGAGGAAGTATTTTTATTAGTGGAACAAATCTGGATGTAGTTAGCTTTGTTTCACAGAGTAAATTATGTTTCTGCTTTTCAGTCATTCATATAAATTTTTGAGATGAAAATTTCTGTAATTCTTGTTTGCATGAAGTTGCATATTTGGCAATGTTAGTTTGATAAGTATCTTTTGTAATTTATGAAGTAAAATAAAAGATAATTTGATACAAATTTGAGGGATTTTTGTACTTGAGTATCTAATACTAGGGCTGAGTTTTAAAATACTCAATCTTGATCATGCAAGAGTTTGTATATACTTCCATGTACTTGTACATTGTATTTCTGAGAACATTTGTTTACATTTTGAAGTTTCTTCAAGCTGGTATTGTCAGTTTAATGTTATTTATCCATTTTTTTTTAAATAAAGTTTAATGAGTTGCCTGTTCTCAGCCTTCCTAAAACAAGGCTGTTCCCTTTGAACTCACCACTTTCTGGGAAACGTTACTGGTGTCTTAGAACCCAGGATCTTCGGTCAATCTAGCTTTAAAGACAATGGCAACAGTTCTATATGCTACTGGCTTACTCCTTCATGGGATTTGTTGAGCCAACTGAGATATGAACTCTTCGTTACTGAAGGTTTGGAAGCCAGAAGAATGATATGGCCAGTGTACTGTCACTGTGGAAATCTGTCAGTCATTGCAGTTTTCACTTAACTTTCAGTGCAAAAATATTGTAATGGCTCGGTGACGCAGCATCCCTCTGGAAAATCTGGAAAATCTGAGTGGGTACAAATTTTATTTCACCACAGTGTGAGCTATCCCACCTTTTTTTAGTGAAAATGTGGTGCAGAATAAGTGAGGATGAAAGAGCCTGTGCTCTATTGACAATGTTTCCCAAAGGAAATACCATTTTGACATGGAAGTGCTCGAAAAGGTTTCTATTTCTGTTCCGTTCCGTATTTTCAAAAAGAAGTAATGTTTTGATGTAAAAAGAAATTCGGGTTTGTTGTGAAATTGATCACATAATGTACTAGAGAAGTTAGCTTGCTATTATCCACCATAGTGAAATGCATTCTTCAGTAGATTTTATACATCTTGCACTGCTAAAATAGAGACTGTTTACATAAAACAACTACTAAAATATGTGAAATATATTCAATAACGTGATGCTTAGAACTTGCCAAGAAGAACATGTACTAATTCCTCTCCACCTCCATTGTTACCTTAAGAGCAGCTCTCTCCATAGCAACTGAAAACTTTTCAAGGCAGCATAAACTAATCCTCTCCAGCTTCCAGAGCACCATCAAGGAATTTTAAAAACATTGGACTTCTAGCAGCTAAATACTTCTGAGGATTCAGAAGGCCACAAACCTAGATACACAAGCATTCTTTTTCCCTTCAGAAGGTAAGAAAATAATGTTTAGAAATAAGTGCATCCTTGTAAAAATTGTATGTATTCATAAGTCCTAAGAGTAAAATATATCTAAACACTAGAAGGTTTCCTAATGTTTAAAAACATACTAACCTTTATCTGAGTGAATGCCAGTTTGAATTCAGCAGGTTTTTTTTTAATCTTAAATATTTAGCAGTGTTTCCTTTAAAAAAAAGACACACATGTATCATATTGCAGTTAAAAGAAGATGAACTTATGCATAGCTGTTTAATACATGTACATTGTCATCTGAAAATGTATGTCCCTGCCAGCATCTGCCTCTAAATAAAAGAAAAAATGCTTTGTGGCAAACAGAAGTGTTTCTTGTGCTTTGATATTGAGAGAGATTATTGTTAAAGCAGAGGCAACAGTATATTAGGAACGATAGTGACAAGACAGATTTACAGTACAAGATGTCTTTTGCATCTAGTTAACAAGTTAAACTTATTGCTTCTGATCTGTTTGTCTTATTTATTCAGCGAGTTTTATGAATGAAATTATGGCCTCAGTTTTGTAAATCTTTCATCTGATCATAAAATATCACTAATTTTTAAGTACGTCCTGTTTGCTCTTGTTTTGTATAGCTGGAGTTTGGTAATGTTGGTAAAGTGTTTTGAAAATAAAACCTGCTCTGTATCATTGCCTTGTAGCTAATTACTGTACATTCATATTAGAATTAGACTAGTAATGTTTATTTACAGCTATTTTTGCTACTGAAAACTTGCTTCATAATGGAATGAAAGTGAAAGCTGTGGTATTTTCCTGTTCTTACTGAAGAGGATTATTAGTGAATGCAATATCATTACACTGAAATGAAAACCATACACTTTTATGAGTAGGGAAGGGCATTTTCAGTCAACTTCTTTTTGGTAGTTCTACAGAAGTTTTAAGGCCATGGCTGTCTTAGTTTCCTGCTGTTCTGGGCTGTAAAGCCCTTACAGGCTCCCTGTTGTTCAAAAACAGCTTGTCACTGCAAATCAGCTTAGCTGACCAATTAATAAATCCTTTCAAACATATTGCATTCACACTAATTAAAGGGTTGTGTTTTTTTCCCCCTTTACCATTCAGATTCCTCATGTTTCAAGTTTAAGCTGTGAAGTGCAAGGAACAATCCAACATTCAGTGCAGATCACACACTACAGGAAGAGGAGATGTGTTTTCTGACGAAGCATCCAGCTCTTGGGATGGTATGTTCTGCTTTCATATTCAGCGTGCTCATTGCTGAAGGACAGCCTGGGGAAGAGCATGGGCAGGATGGCAGCTATGCTCCCAGCCGAGGCTCTCTGATGGAAGTTTTGCGCGTTCTTTCAGCTGACAACACTGAGCTCCACATGAACCACTCACGAGAACTGGTCAAAATGTTACTGGAGAGAGCTGAGTGCCCACAGCGGATTTATGGCATGCAAGAGGATTGTAATCTGGTTAGTGCTTCAATTAATGAGGGATATCTTTACAGGGTCGTCAGTGAGTTCTAAAATTATTTCTTGGAGCGATACTCCCCTTAATACAAAACCTAAACTTGTAAAGGGCTTGTTGTTGCAGCAAAAAAAATTGTCCCTGCTTTAATCATTTCACTCTGAATTATTAATATTTGTTGTTTGAGCTCATGAAGAGATATTCCAAACATAATAGGCATTCCTTAAAAGCACCATGCTTCCGTTGTATAGCAGTAATAATTTTCCTTTTAAAGTTGTCAAGTGTTTATTTTCCAACAGAGATTTTTCTACTTTACCCTGATCTAGCTATAAAAGCTTGAATTTGGGTCACAGAGGATTTCCACTCTGGAAAGACAGAAGTAAAAATGGGAGACTGGTTCTCCCTTTTTTTTTTGGTTGTTCTGCATTTTAGTTCATAAGAATAAAACCCAGACAGAATTTTCTCAGATTTACGTGCCACTTAACAGAGATACTCAAGTTGTAAGGGGCGGGGTGCAAATGGTAAGAAGTTCGGGTCAAGGAAAATCAAAGGCAGAACAGTGACTCTACAAATCCAAACTGAAACTGGAAATAGTGCAGGGTACAGCTTCACAGAAGGTTTTGTTGTCTAGTTTAGAGTATTTTCAGAACTGATTCCTAATTTGACACAGAGAGGAATAAGTGTAGTAAGATCATAGGTGCTGGTAGGACAGAAATGGTGGTAAGTGAGCAACTTCGCTGAAAGGGACTGCAAAGGGCTTGGTCAGTCCTGGCTTTGATTAACGTTACTCTAGCTCTGGCATCGTTCAGTGACCTACATACAGCAGAGTGTTGCTTTATATCAGATTTATGAAGATAGTCCTAAAGGTGAATGCTTTCACAATATACTTTTCCTGGAAGCCAATGAAATGGAGACCTGTTTCTCCTGTGCAGTAGATAGCTACTTATTTAATTGTCCCTTTCTGAAAATGCTCCCATTTTTCCTGTGAAATTTCATACAATGTAGGTGCTTGTTATTCCCTAAATGGGTAATTGTTATGAAGGACATTGTGCAGCTTTTCTCTTTGCAAATATGCACAATAGTTATGTGCCTGATAGGGACCCAGATCAAAAGCTGAGACTATATTAAACAGTAATGACTACAAAGTCTTCCTAAACTTCACAAAACAGGGATCTAGGCCTTGTTCTCCCTCTTCTTTTTGCTTCTCTGGATTGCTGTATTTGTTCTTGTATTTGTGATGCATAGCAGGGGCGTTAGACTAGAAGATCTTCAGAGGCCACTTCCAACCCCTAGCATTCTGTGAGGTCATGCCCACTGGATCTTTAGATGAAATAAATCTAAATGAAACTTACTTGGGACTTACTTTGGTCAGGACTTCCACTCCATTTATGTTTCCATCTTGGAAATTTCCTGTGGGAAGAATTTGAGACTTTCACCGTTTCCAGTTCTCAGTGTTGGCTGTGTCAGTTACACTGGACACATCCTGCACTGCCAGTGCCACATGGACACAGATGGCCATAGAAAATCCATGAGAGAGAAATGGCATCTTCAGTAACATGCAGCCCACATGGCACTGTGCTGAAATCTTCCAAGATGATTGAACAAGATTTGGTGAACCAAGATAGCAGAAACTATTCAAGGAGCACTAAGCTTCAGGATTGTCAAAATTTGAAACAGAATGCCCCACCTTAGCTTGACATTTTCTTTCCCATAAACATTAGGAATAACTAGGTGATTTCAGACTCAATTTTTCTGTCTAAATCCAGGATTCCAGTCACAGGATCATAGAATCACAGAATTTCAGGGGTTGGAAGGGACAACAGCCCAGGTTGGAAGTGACCTGGAAATACCATCTGGTCCAACCCTTCCCATGACTTTGTTCTTTCAGATGTTGTTGTTGGTTTGGGGTATTTTTTTAGGTTTTTAATGATGTCTCCAATGGATATTCAAAAGCAGTGAAGTTTAACACTTTTTTAGACCCTTTTTGTGGTTTATTGTTATATATTGACCACAAGACTCTTTGTGCAGGGGCTGACAGCTGTTGAATGGCATCTGACACTACTTTATCTCATAAGCACACAAAAGTAATATATTTCTTGCAATGGTTAAGATACTTTTTTTCCTACTTTCTGACCTCTTGAACAAAAGAAACTCAGGGTTCAGTGGCCAGGTAGAAAATAACAGCAAAATAACCAGTGACTTAAAGGGTCACTCTCCATGGGTTACCCATATAGTATGGAGTAGCTGCATCTTTTACAACTCACCTGCTTCTTTCCACTTAGCAATTTCCTTTTCAGTCATATTCCTTGCAAGAGCAGACAACAGCCTCACTAATTGCAATTTATCCTGACTTGATTTTGGAATGTTATTGTAGAATAGAATTATAGAATTGTTTATGTTGGAAAAGACTGTTAACCTAGAAATGCCAGGTCCACCACTAAATTATGTCCTTAAGCACCTCATCTACATGTCTTTTGAATACCTTTAGAGACAGTGACTCAACCACTTCCCTGGGCAACCTGGTCCAATGCTTGAAAACCCTTTTTGTGAAGATTTTTTTCCTAATATCTGATCTAAACCTCACCCGCCACAACTTCAGGCCATTCCGTCATCTTATCACTTGTTAGATGGGAGAAGAGACCAACCTCAACCTCACTACAACCTCCTTTCAGATAATTTTAGAGAGCGATAAGGTCTCCCCTCAGTGTCCTTTTCTCCAGGCTAAACAGCCCCAGTTCCCTCAGCCCTGCCTCATAAGATATGTTCTTGAGACACTTCATGAATTTCATTGCTCTTCTTTGGACATGCTCCAGCACCTCAATGTCTTTCTTGTAGTGAAGGGAATTTATATAAATTATATAACTTAGATAAAGACTTTTATAAGTCTTTGAAAATGTTTCACTACATGCAGTATGTTTATTGCATTACTACTGAGTCTTTGAAATGGCTGGTTCACTAACTTGTGGTCTTTTGGGACAGAAAACAGAACAGCTATATTCTTTCCAGCCCAAATATTAATACTCAGAGACATGAATTATGAAAAGTTAGAATTATAGTTCTTGACAGACAATGTAGGCAGGGCACAGTGGATCACACTGTGATCTAGTCTATTTATGAATATAAATATTTAGCTTGGCAATCACCAGCCACAGTTCTCTCTTTTTATTGAATATTTGTGAGAATTTTTGTTAGAATTATTTCTATTAAAAAGTGGCAGCTCTCTCAGTTCCTCCAAGGAACATTGGCTTCTGAACATGACAGCTTCTGTGTATGAAAATGCAGTAACATAAAAGGTGAGACACAATGACCGACACATCTTACTTGTAGCCACAAGCAATTTAGTCTGACAAACTAGGTTCTATCTGGATTCATGAATTTATTAGAGTGCAGTTTTGATCATCCCATGGTATCCTCATGTGTTGTAGTTTCTTCTCTGAAGTGTACAGTCTTGCTGCTCTACCATAACTGTTGAGGTTAGCTGACATGCCTATAATGTGCTTAGAAAGGAGCCAGGTGGAAAAAAAAACAGCTGCAAAATGAATGACAATAGTTACAAGATCTTTTCAAGTTCTTTGTTCCGGAATTCACTATCTCGTTTGCTGTAGCCTAACGTAGATCTCTATTAGTCCTATGGTGTAATTTTAAAGACCAACTTTTACTTTAGCTGTCAAAAGTTTCTGGAGAATAAATTGTGTTAAGTAAAAAAGGAGGGGTTTATATATATACATGTTTTAAAAAATCGGTCCTCAGATAGAAAGCTTGGACAGGAGGAGTGTATCATGTCAGACCCTCTTGAAATGAATTTGGATGACTGATGTGGAGACCTCGTGCTGGCTCTATGCACTGGACTGAATTGTTCCAGTTAACAGAATTTATTGACAAAAAATAAAAATAGCTATATGATTGCGGGGTCATTGTAGGCGAAAATATGAATAGCCCGAGGCCTTATCTAATATATGATAATGAGGAATGTAATCTGTTGAAGCTAGTGGAAGACTTTCAGTTCTCTACAATGACTGACCAGAGTTAGTCCTGTTTTGTAGTAAATCTTAGAGACCTTGAATACTTGACATTTCTGAAAAACAGAAGGAACTCTGGAAAAAGAGTGTGATCTTGTAGCAATAGAACTGCAATGAATTATCTGCACCTTTCTCCTGTCATTCAACCAGCCTGCATTTGTGTAGCCTTAGGTCCGATTCCTTAAATCTAAGAGTGGAATTCTGCTGTTCTCCTCTCTAATTATATTTGCAGATGACTGACGATGTCTTATTTGAATTGAATTTTGATTTATTTTTATTTTTCACAGTGCCTTGAACCAGATGCTTTGTTACTAATAGCTGGAGGAAATTTAGAAGACCATCTCAGTGAAGAAACATTTGAGAGAATTTCTCTTATTCTTCTCTACTACATTCTTCATCATAGAGATGTATGTTTTTCAGAACTCAACAATAAGGATTATAAATTTTACCTACAGAGTATGCTTAGCTTAAGACATGATGAAGACTGTTACTATTTTTCACGGAATGAAACTGAAGATGTTTTGGCAGCAGTAAGGCAACATTTTAAAACTTCTGAAACCCAGGTAAACAAAACATAAGTAAATATAACCTCATACTTATTAATGATTCAGTGCATTTAAGCTAGTTCAGACATTGTGTCAGAATTATGGCCCTCCAGAAAACTGGTAAATAACAGTGGGAGAGCACAGACTGAACACTGTTTCTCTGTTTTACATGCCATTTAACACTAGCCCTCTCCTTGACGTGCTTTTGGGAAGTGCTACCAAGTGCTTTCACAGTGTCTGCCGAGAAATGGTTGGGGAGATACTGCATATTAGGGACTATTCCCAGTATGTAATTTAGATGCAATTGCTCTGCTTACGGCAGGTGGAGAACAGCAAAGCTGTGTAGATGCAAGATGTTGCACTTGGCTTCAAGGACAGAAAATACTTTCTCATCTCTTGTATTTATTACTATAGATATACTAGCCATGATTGTATTTAAATGGTATAAAGCAGAACAGCTCCAGAACTGATTTGGCCATATAGCAGAAATGAAGATTCATTTTGCCATGATGAAATCCTTGCCAGGCCCTGCTCTTCCATGTGCATCCAAATAAGGGTGGAGTATGGAATCTGTCCAAAGATAAGATAGTTTCTTTTAGTTGGGACACATACATTTGTAACTAGTTATCTATTGGCACAATTAAGCCTTGTGGAAATATTGATACAGATAAGCTTAAATTTAAAGTTGTGGTTTTGTTGTTTTAAAAAAGCATATTGAGTGCAGTCAGCTAAAAACATCCTTTTAAAGTCAGGAAACATGCGGTGAGTTTTCTCACCACTTATCTCAAGTATCCTTATCTCAAGCAGAGTCTATAAAGTCATAGAATAAAGTTCTAGGTTTCACAAACTAAAGAAAAAGTTTTCCTTGTAATGAGCAATAACAGAAATTTTTGCCAGATTAGATAACTGCTAAAATACAAATTGGCCTCCTGTTAGATCCTCCCTTAGATCCGTTTGTCATATACAGTTAAATTTGGGTTATTGCAAATTTTGAATTTGCCTTTTTAATTTCATTTCATTAGATTTTAATTTATACCCTACTGTAGTAGACTTTCCTACACAGCAGAAGACGGCTAGGAGACCTGGCTCTGCAGCGCAATGTCGAGGGCCTTCGGTTCCTCTTTCTGTGTTCTTTGTGTAATCATTTCCCATCATAATTTATTCATTGAGCAGTACTTTTGGTTCTGAGTCTTGTTGAATGTGCAGACTTCCAAGAACTCCAGTAGTATCTGAGCAACTGTAAAGTGGCTTTGGTGGCTATTTGGCATGTCAAGACAGAATAACAATCCATAAAGTGCTTTACTGCGCGGTCTGTTTGTGTTGGCAGTATAATCAGTTGTCAAGTTGTCTCAGTTTGGTAACTGAGACTTCACCACATGAGGGAAAAGAAGGTGTGGGTTTTTTAAATGAAAGGTATTCAAAACATTATAGACTATCTAATTCTTAGAATCACAATACTTGAGCTATGGAAAACGACCAACGATGCAGGGTAGTAGTAGAAAAAAAAGCATTTTCAATGGCTCTTTAAATGTTTCGGTTTCACAGAAAATATCCTCTTCTCAGTCATAGCGCTTAATATATTGTTTGAATGAGAGATGGAGTTTCGAGTTGTGGAAATTTAAATCTGTAATGAATGGACAGGAAAAGAGATGACAGCCTCCGCTCTGCAGTGTTTAAGGCATATAGAGGGACAGGAGTATGTGTAAAATAAATTATGTCTGTACTGACTCATCTGGTTGACTTTGCAAATTAGTTAATGTGGGTTAGAGAAAAATTAACTTAAATAATTTTCACCAATTTTTGTTTGTTTCTCTCAAACCCCAACTGTTTGCAGTGAAAATAAACAAGGCAGAAATTGAAGAAAAGAGGGCTAAGTTTCCAGGTCACTGAGAGAGCTGTACCCTGCTCCCTCGCTTCAGACCCACACACATCCACAGACGTGGGTGTACATGGCTGTCTGCTGCTTCTCTGCCATCAGCCAGTGGAAAGGTCACCCTTTATCTGCAGAATTACATCTTTTCATATTGTGCCCAGATAACTGCCCCCCAACAAATTATTGATACCATTTAACAGATAAAATCATTAAGAGAATTCTTTCTGGAGTTTGAGGCAAAGAATTAAGGTCTGTATTATTTGAGTCAATTTCTTGTGCCTTTACCAAAATATCTTCCCTTTTCTGCCTCGTTCTGCAAGTAGATGTAGATGCCGTTGCGGACACAGGAGTAATAGAGACAGCATGAAAATAACACTAAGCAAAAATAATGTGAATCACAGAATGTTATGGGTTGGAAGGGACCTTGAAAAATCATCTAGTCCAGTCCCCTGCCAAAGCAGGAAAGAATGAATGAAAGACTGTACTTCTTCAAAATGAATGAAGGACTGTACTTCAAAATTTTACTCAGACACTGAGTAAAATTTTGGGCTCTTTTTATTCCATGCCTGTTCTGACAGTGTCCTCTGTTCTGCATTTTCTGTCCTGCTGTCAATTACAGCCTTAATCTCAGTATTTTTTCTACTCTGTCTGTGAGAATGTTCTCTCCAGTTTCTCCTCCTGTCACTCTGATTATTTAAATGATGGTGGCTAGGGCTGTCTTCATGCTGTTTTCTCCTGGTTTCAGTGTGTTGATGTGAGTACTCTGGAGAAAAATGCTGATATAATGGACAGAGATGGTGCTGATGAAAACAGTCTTCCACGCCTGGCTGCTTTAATCATTACTCTGGCTCTCCAAGGAGTCTGTATGGGGAAAGCAAGCTTGCCCTCCCCAGAATTCTTTGTAAAATATATTTTCAATTCTTTGAACAGTACTACTGAGCTCCAAGTGACAGGTAAGCTATTTCTTCATCTCTAGTTGCCTTTTGCAACACACATTTTACTTAAATGTTTAAAGGACTTTTTGCACTACATTTTAGATTTATATGCCATCTCATTTTAGAGCAGTTTAGTAGACTCTTCTAGATTGAAAAATAAGGTTAGAAAATAAACTCCTTATTGTAATAATTCTCTGAGAGATATAAAGTAAATTGTTACTGAGATCATTAAATGTGTGCCATCACATTCATTTATTACTTAATTGTTCAGCACAATCTGAATTACCTGAGAGAGCTCTGAGAGTAGCAGTCCAGCTGTGAGGGCAAAGTTCAGGGGGACTTTGCTTCTTTATGCGGATCTTTATACATTGCAAGGCTCGTTTAGGAGTAGATGGGATAATTTATGTGTGGTAGCCAGATTAGACACTTTAGGCACTCACACTTCAGTGTACATGTACCCCCAAAAGCGATTAAATAGACACAAGCCACCCTGTTTTGATCAAGTGCTCTCTGATATCTGCCTGCTGTACCTGAAAACGCTTCTAGGGTTTGTCCTTCCCTACGCACCTCCTGATCTTAGTACCCACTTAATGAGGATGGAATATGCAAAATTAATTTTCTTCAGGAGCTCTGTTGCTAGATGTATCAGAAATGCTGCTTAACTGTAAATAAAGAGAAATATAAGAGAGTTCTGAGTGGTCCAAACATGCTAATAAATTTGGCAAAAGATTCTGCATGTGTAGCAGTTTGAGAAGCTAAACCATCAAATCAGAGGCCTGATACGGATTTAGAAGGTTATTATAAGACATCTGCTTTTCCTTGTTTGTGGTAACTGCTAATAGCAACTTTTTACAAACTCTTCACAAAAAAGTTACATTAAGTATGGGTTAAAACAACCTAAAAGGCTGAATTAAGCGTAGGTGTAAAACCTTTTTTACCACTCTTAAGTTACATGGCAGTACATTGAATCACAGAAGTAAATAATAATAAAAGAAAAAAACCAAAATCCTCATCCCTAAATTCAGACTACTAGATTGTACTTGCCTAAACTGTTTTTGCAGCAAACCCCTTCCTTTAAAATTGCCAAGCCAAATCTTCTAAAATAATTGACTCACAAGAAGGGATGAAGCCATCTGAGCACAGCTATAGATGGTGAAATCCAGGCTAGTGAAGACAAGAGCAAGATTTTGTAGTTGGTGGAATTAGAGTGTCATTTGGAAAAACAAAAAAAATACTCTTAACCAGTTTGTTCCAAGGTAAGTATATTTTAAGTCTAAGCTAATTAAATTGCCCTTTTAAATATACCTTGAAGAACAGTGCAGCTATTTAGCAGTAACTTGTAGATAACTTTGGCAGAGATCGATGATTAAGTGGAAGATGAATTGCCTTTCAGTCACATCTGTTTTCCTCTGAGATAGTCATAGGCAAAACATCTAAGTGTGGTAATATAAAGAAGGAAAGGCTGAGTATATAAATCTCTTGAAGTTCTAGAGGTGTTAAGTGGAAACTATGTACAGTACCAAATTGAGCAGAGAAAAAAGTATTAAAATGAGGGGTTGAATTAATGTTAAAACAAAATTTTAACAATTACTTTTGGTTTTATCTTTTCCCATGTTTATTTCCCCGTGGTAACATATCTGTTTTCTAATGAATTACTAGAACTAGAACAACTACTAAATATGCTTACAGCCAAAAAGATCTGCACTGTAAACGGACAATTCCACAGTCACAAAAGACAACGTTATACTATGGCAATCAGAGATACTGGAACCAGAAATATTCCAGGAGACTATCTGAAAGGTTATTTTGAAGATCGTGAAAGGAACACAGATTGGGACCAGGTTAATTTATTTTTATGTTGTTATAGTATTGGTAACAAAACTTCAGTGATTAAAGTTCAAATTGTTTTGCGAACACTATGGTATTTCTAAGATAAATTTTATTAATTTAAAGAAGTCATGTAGATACTGATAGACATATTTTTATATAGTTATACTTGTTTAAATATTAATTGTTGGAAGAACTTTATGGATGCTTAATCTGTGGTTAAAATAGTTGAGAGGGGCTAACAGAATGGTGTTATGCAAAATCAGATGTTTCTTCAAGACACAGAGGATTGTAGTACCATGGGTTCAGTGTTTACACAGATTTATTGGAGATTTCTTATGCTCTTATGTCGCAGAGCTTGTAGGGCCCATTAAGTGACCTTCTGGAAAGAAGGGTCAGTCTGTACTAAGGAGAAAAAAGTAATTTAAAGTTTCTGCATAATTTATTTTTAAAAGGCTTCTCTAAACTGAAGAGTGGGCATTTCCTAACACTTTTAGTAGCCATCTATGAAGTCCAGAAGCCTTCTTTAGAGAGTACTAGAAGTCTGTAAGGCAGAACTTCAGCTGATATCCAGTATGCTCTTCGAAGGCTTTGAAGGACAGTGGTTTATTGTAGGTGATTTCATCTTTATCCTAAATATTTGAAAATAAATGAATTTTGTTTATACTATCCTTTAGACCAGAAGACAAAAGAGCAGACTTTGTATATATTTTTCCATACACATTTGAAATGTATACTTCAAAGAATATGTTTCTCTTGTTTTCGGTGTTTCACAATTTCGGTGTTTCTTCTCTATTTAGGGGAACAAGTGATGTGCAATTACTTGTGCTGTGTGGTTATTTTATGATGTGGAACGGAGTCAAATTGCATCTCGTTAAATGTCATTCTGGTAGTTATTTTATTACATTTGGAGTGCATGCTATATCAATATGTTTATTTCTTTCCAGCTGACCACAAAAGAAAATTATGCTGATCAGCATGATGAGGAATTTAATGGTGTCTCAAAATAATTTAAAATGAAAGTCATTTTAAATGTGTTTCATATTAATTTTAAATTATGAAGGACAGAAATCAGTAGTGATAGTATCTATACAAGAATTAAAATTGTTCTTCAGCCATAGAATTTATAAAACACAGGTTTTGATTTCTAGAACTTCTGAAACTGACTGTAACTCAAAAGAAAAGTGTGCAGTCGAGTAATGTGAGGCTTGGGAGTCGAACAAAGAGCCAAATAGTCTGTACAGATGAACAAAAGAGCAAAGAAACATCTGGAGAGAAGCTAATTTCTCTTCTGTATTAATTCCTAGTTTCTCAGGTTTATTCCATTGCTTTCTTCCTAGCTATGTCTATTTTCTTTGATGTATCATTCTATTAGAAGGCTTCAGTGCTGCGTTGCTAATTTTGTCTCCAGCTTTCTGCACATAGCTATCATAAATGTTGTCCTCCATTAGTAACAGATGCTGCTACATATGAGATATTGACTCAGTTATGGCTTGTGCTCGCCAACTATATTAAGATCTGTAATCTGATTTTTAGATGGGAATTATATTTTGAAATGTTATCATAGAAAAAGTCACCACTTTCTTTTTAAGTCGTCATTGTCTCTATTGATTTAGAAAATGCATATAAAACAAATAAGTAGCAGATGATCTAATAAGAGCAATAATATTAAGTTCCCTTAAACTATGTCACAACATCTATGTTTTCATTTATTATTCCTCATTAAACAAACATGGATTTTGGAAACTAAAATCATCCATCTGTCCGCTTTTTCATATGGGAATATACAAATCCAATTTACTTGTTTCTTCGGTATCATCCTTTAGCAGTACACAGAGTTGCTTTTCTAAAGGAGACTTAGTAGTCTGCCTCCCTATGCTAAAATATTTAGAAGGCTAGGGCTTGGAACCGGAAAAGATGCAGGCCCTCACGTCTTACAAGAACATTTTACTAAATAAGCATTAGGAATTATTTTTTTATATGTGGATAGACAGTTTATTTTCCAGGTGAGAGCTTGCTTTTTCATTTAAAATTCATGATAATAAAGTTGCATTAAAATTTAGGTACATAGTAATCCCAGACCTCATCTTATCTATCCTACTTCTCAGATAGTGCCAATATCAAAGTCAGATCAAGTTTCACAGGACCATGTCCAGTTGAATTCTGAATGTGTCCAAAGAGGAAGATTCCACAGTCTTTTTGGGAAACCTGTACCAGTGCTTTACTGTCCTCATTTTGATGGTTTTTTTTTAATTATAACAAATTGGAATTTTTCCTGCTGCAACTAATGCCTACCTCTCATCTTTTTGCTCTGAGAAGAGCTCTATTTTCACTACAATCGCTGTTAGACAGTTGAAGACTTAAAATACCCCCCAAGGCTTCTCCAAACAGAACAAACCACATCCCTCAACCTCTCCCTGCAGATCCTGTGTGGCGGTTCCCTAGCCATCTCAGTGGTTTCCCCCAGTTTGCCAATGTCTTTCTTGTACTGCTGGTTATTAAACTGGATGTGGTCCAGATGTGGACTCGTGTCCTGGGTGGAGGGCAATAACGATTTTCCGCTGCCTGTTGGCTACACTCTTGCTAATGCAGCGCCGTACACAGTTAGCCTTTGGTGCCACAAGGGCACACTGGTGACTCATGTTCAAATTGACTGTCAGGACCCAAAGGGTTTCTTCTGCGAAGCTACCTTTCAGTCATTTTTTCTCAGTATGGTGTTATTCTGTTTGAAGGCAAATAAATTTGTCTTTGCTGATCTTTATGAAGGTCTTTTCAGCCCATTTCTTTGGCTTGTCAGGATCCCTCTAAATAGCAGCCACGCCCTTCAGCATATTAACTACTTATCCCAGTTGGACTTTGTCTGTGAATGCGGAACGGTGCACTCTGTTGCATCCCTCAGGTCACTGGTGAAAACATCAGATTATATCAGACCAGTGAGGAATGCTGCTCATAACCAGCAATTAGCTAGACTTCCACCCTGATACCACTTGCTGGTGTTCCCTACTTCTACAGTCAAAACCACTGCCTCGAACAGGCAAACTGAAGGTCTTTCCCAGCATGGTGGCTCCTGAATTGTCTCCATGCACTCCTTTTGCCCAGAGGCAGAACAGACTACAGCCAGGTGGCAAGATCACGTATTATCCTAAAGACATGAATGTAGTATTCAGATTAAATGTATCAGTGCTCAATTAACTGCATTTCTTAGCGAGCTACAAAGCATGTTTTACTTTACATTAGTAAATGGTGAACAAAGGCAGGAAGGCGTTGGGTCTTAATTGCATTATTTAAAAGTAATTATCATTACTTTTTTGTTTAAATAGCAATTTTCATTCAAAAGAGACCTAAGCTTCAGCGATTAGAAGAAGAACATTTAGTAATCCCTTGATTCTCAGATGCAGACTAATTTGACTGAAAGAAACAGATATTTATTATTTTAATTGAATCATAACTAGTAAAATGCGATTATGAGGATTATTCCTTTAATTAAAGTAGTATTGGACTTGGACTGCTTCTGCTTAAAAGTTCTTATAGAAATTGCCACTAGAACTGTTCTAATACTAACTGTTCATGTTTTTCCTAGAAGTTTAATCTTGGAGATGAAAAATCAATTCTTCATGAAAATTTTTCAAAATCATTGTAGAATCATAGAATGGGCTGGGCTGGAAGGGACCTTAGAGATCATTTAATCCAACCTCCCTGCCATGGGCAGGGACGCGCCTCTCAACTAGATCAGGCAACGCATGGGGACCGAACAGGGGTTGAACTGCGACCTTGGTGTTATCAGCACCACGCTCAACTGACTAAGAGTGTGATTTTTGTTAGCACTGAAACATTTTCGATAGCACATATATCAATAAAATGTTTAAAGAAATCATTGTGTTAAACCTCAAGATATTAACAGGTTTCAATAGAAATCGTGCTTCTTCATCGCATACATTCTGATATTTCTGAAATATATAGTAGTATCAAGTTTTAATTGATAAAACAAAAAAGAATTAGAACTAATTCAACCAGAAAAGAGTATATGGAAAACAAGGGGGGTTTAACCTCACCATTAAATGCAGGTATATGCAACATATTCAGTAACTAAATATACATTTCTACATAGGTTTGTTTCTCTGCCAATGAACTTCTGAAGATATTTTTTAAAAACAGTTCCTCCTCCATTTCTAAGGACCACTTCAAGCAAATCAGTCCAGCTATCATTCAGCAACTATTAAGTTGTTCATGTCAGCTTCCTGACTCCAAGCAGAAAAAGCTTCCACCAACAACTCTGGAAAGTGAGTTACATTTTTATCAGTAAAGTGCTGTGAATATTCAGATTAAGAGGTGCAGGGGCTTAACTTTTGGAGACATCTCATTCATTAGTAAACTTAAATCAAAACATTGTAAGATTTATGCACTGTGTAATTTATGCACTCTATAAATTCAAAACATAGATAATAGTACTAACTGAGAAGCGAGGGGATTTAATGATCTCAGTTTTATACTAGACAGAATTTTATTTCAATGTGTAAGCTTTTAAGCTTTATGTTCTTAATTTCTTAGAGGACTGCTTGATGTAGGCAGCAGGTGAGCCATGTGTCTTGGTTTAGAAGACAGGGGAAAG